AGTTCGGAATCCGACGTCTTACTTCGTAAAATCTCTATTGACTTGTTAAATCCTTCGGATTAATTTCGCCGCTTTGGCTCGGTTACACGATTCGGTGTGACCCGAAGGGTTCAGTAAAGAGCAAGTTGTATTATTAATTATACATTAATATTACTAATCGGAAGCGGCTCCAGCTAGGCATTCTGATCACTTGACCTCACTGAATAATTAGCTTTCCTAATTAGTTCCGAACCCTCTATCGGTATAATACACTTGTTCGAAGGACACCATTCCTTTCAACTGTTAGTTTGAACAAGTCAAAAAGACAACGGATAAGCACAAAGAGAGCACTACTACAAAAATGGGCAAAGAAACCTCTAATAAGAGACCTGTTGGTCAATACAACAGGTCTCTTTGATGTAAGAGACCTATTATCAGAGATAACGGATCTCTATAATGCCAAAAGGTATAAATGGAAAGAAATAGAAGACATGTTGTCTAACTTAACAGGTCTCTTATGTTTTTATGGGCCCACGACTTTTCTTTTTTCTTTTTTTTACAGGATACAACTATCTTTTCTCTTGTTATTCTTTCATAGAGTTTTGAAGCACAACCCTCTCTCCTCATACTCCCTTAACATACCCAGCCTCATCACTTTCTATCCTCTCCTCTCATTTCCTATTCTACCTCAACAGCGCGACATCCTTAACTATGACGCCGCAAGATCCTCCACCCTCAACTTAACGGCGCAGCTGCAAGATCCTCCACCTTAACGACGCCGCTGCAAGATCCCCCTCTTTAACGCCGGCGTTTCCTCCTTAACTCAAGTTTGAGGATTTAAATGTCAATTTTGACCATAAAAACTCTAGATCTAGAGATTGATGGTTAAATTTGGCCAAATAAAGCAATTATTGAAGTGGTAAAAAAGTTTTTTTTTTTTTTTTTTTTTTCTATTTTATTTCAATATTTTTAAAGGTTTTGAGTGGGTGACAAGAAGTTTTTATTTATCATGGTGGTTTTGGGTTTATGTTGGGTAAGTTTTTTTTTTTTTTTTTTTTTTTTTTTTTTTTTTTTTTTTTTTTCGTGGACAGCTAGGGTTTTTATAACGAAATTGGGTGTGGTTTATACGGGGGTTGGGGGTGGATTTTTATGGTGTTAGGGTGGTTTATTCGGGATAAGGGGGTGTTTTTTACGAGGTTAGGGTGGTTTATTCGGGATTAGGGGTGATTTTTTACGGGGTTAGGGTGGTTCGTTCGGGATTGGAGGTGGTTCGTTCATACGGGGATTCACTATTTTCTGGTTTATTTTTATGGTGGTTGGGGTTTTTTTACGGTGGTGTTGTGCAAGGTTAAGGCCTTTGCTCTTTTTTAATGATTTTTTGTTACATTAGCATGTTAATTTGGGTATTTTTTTTTACTTTTTATTTTTTTATTTTTCAATTCTAAGTGAAGGGGTGTATGCGAAAAAAAAATGTTAATGTTGGTGTTGATGGGTCAATTGATGATTTTTCTTGTTTGCATTTTGGATAATAGTATTGATTTGGGTGCTTAAGAGTTGATTTTAATGAAGGCTGCAAGTGGGTTAATGTTAAGTTTTTTCGTTGTTGATATGTAAGTTTTTTTTTTATTTTTTTTTTAATTTTTTTTATTTTATATATTGATATTCTTAATGGTGTACAAGTCACCGGGAAATTCAAGAAACTCGATCAAGGATGTTGATCAATGGAGGGCTAATTCAATTAATTGTTTCATTTTATAATTTACTTGTAAATTATTTAAGTTCATACACTTGTTAATTTTAATAAAAATGTATATTCAATTGTTACGTTCTATACATTAAATTTTCTAGCCATTTTAGTTCTTTTAAAAATAAAAATTCAATTAATAAATATATCGTCGAAATTTTTAATTTTTAATTTTTTTTTCAAAAACTATAGATAAAAGAGACCTGTTATCTAACATAACAAGTCTTTTTGATTGTATGAAAGAGACCTACTATGTTACATAACGGGTCTCTTTCCCTTCGTAAATGTATGACGTAATTACATGCAAAGAGACCTGTTGCCTTACTTCACAGGTCTCTTATTGATTACAACGAGACTTGTTCAATTGAACAGGTCTCTTAATCAAAGAGACCTGTGAGCTAGAGACCTCCTCTAAACAGGTCTCTTACGCCATTTATGACAGGTCTCTTTGGCCTTTTTGTAGTAGTGGAGCATGGCATGAAATTCGGAGCTGAACCTGGTAACTAATTTCGGATTCCACGAAATCAGGGAAGGAGCCGTTGAAATGCTTTTAGAAGGATTTTCTCTTATAAATAAGATAAAAACCATTGTAAACGAACAAGACACGAACCCTAAGCTTTACATTTCATAGCAATTAGCAATTAGCACTAAGTCATAGATTCATTCTTGATCAAACTACAACCTACATTGTACTTGTACTTAATTCTCAAGTTAGTAGATTGGTGGGCTCAATGCCACCCGCAGTTTTTACCCTTATTCCTAGGGTTATCTGCGTCATCATATCGTCTCTCTCTCTCCCTTTCTCATTTGTTCTCCTCCTTTTAATCATTTATCTTCGTTCCTTGAACCTGTATCAGCATTTGCATATTTATTAAATTAGTCTAGCTGTTGTCCTACTGAACCTGGTCTAATCTGGCGATCAGATTTTGACCTAAACATATACCTCGATTTTTATAAACATGAAAATTATAATAATTTGATATTACGAAGTAGTAAAATACTTCCTCCATATTTTAATAGTTGAAACACACACTTTTCCACGGCATTTATGAAAAGTGGGGTTCATATGGTTTAATACACTTTAAATGGGGTGAGGGGTTTGTTATTAGAAGTATGATTTGGTCCACACACTTTAAAAAATGGAAATAGTAAAACTTTTTCTCAAAATAATTTTCCAATTATAGTGTGTTGTAAGCTAAGTATTATGACATTTTCATTATACGAAAGTGTTGTAAGTATTGAAAAACAGAGGAATTATATAATTAGACAAACCCACCAAAATCTAATATGATTATATTATCACTTATAGATCAGTAAGAGGTCAAAGTTATTAAAAGTTATCTCAAATATTGGTTAAGTGACAAAAAAATAGGGTAATAATAATATATAGCTTTATTATATCGCTTTTCTTATCTTTTTCACTAATATACGAAGTATTTAATTATATAAAAACTACCTGTAAAATTAAAATAGTGCATTGACATATATGTTGTTTGATTATATCAATTAGTTTCACACAGAGAGTATAATATAGCTTTATATCTTTCATCTCATTTGTATGTATTTAGTGTTGCACTTAGGGCTGTACAAAGTGCGGTTTAGACCGCACTAAACCCAAATTTTGCGATTTGGTGCGGTTTGCAGTTTGAAAATTGCGGTGCGATTTTTGAAAATGACCAAATCGCGGTTTGCGGTTTGATGCGGTTTCAAAAAATATTTAGACCAAACCGCACCGTAAACCGCACTTTAATGCGATTTGCGATTTTTATATTATATTTTTATTAAAAAAATATAAAAGAACTAAAATATATGAACTAATCTTTGACTAATAGTTAATTAAAGGTTAAAAAAAAGAGTTTAATATTTGAATTATAAATTAATAACTACAAAATAAAATAAAAGTTTTGTTTTGAAAGAATAATTATAATTTTAAAAAGGTATGGTTAAACTACAAACCGCACCGTATTTTGCGGTACTGTTTAGTGCGGTTTAAAAAAATTACAAACCCTAATTTTGCGGTTTAATACGGTTTGAATGCGGTTTAAGATCCAAACTGCACCAAACCGCACCGCGAACACCCCTAGTTGCACTTGTTACTCATACAAACATAAATAAAAATGAAAAGAAGAAAAATGATGACACGGCTAGACGTCCGTTGCGGGTCATAGTGGTCCTTGAAATAATGTCAGAATCATCTTCAAATGGATCTTATACAGTCTTGTAAGCAAAATTGCGTAGCCATAGGAATATAAGATTTGATTGCTACAGACTGTAGTTGTATCAATCTCATTTAATTTATTGCTAAACTTTAGTTTTAATGTCAATGATTATAAGTTTATAACTAGTGGGGGTCTGGGGGACCAAGTAATAATTAATTTGCTGGCTAGAGTGATAGATGCGGCATGTATCCTGCGTTCGGATTATGGTTAAAATTATGCAAGTAAAAAGTATAAGATAAAATGGTTCAGAAAAGGATTAATGCAATATTATTAAACCACATGTGTGTATCCTAAATTACAAAAAGGTTCATTTAATACAAGTGTTGCATCTAACACCATAGTTGGTGGTATTTTGGCTAATACATAAGGTCAGGGTGCTCACTGCATCTAAGCCATATTTTAGAGTGTTGTGGTTAAATTTGCCTAATTCATATAGAAATTGTTCTTCTATCTCACGTTGGATTAGTGAGAGACTGAGAGAGAGAATGATAAGTATATAATCCCGGTAAAGTACTCAAGCTAATACCAATTTATTTTGTGACAGAAACATATACAAAGCTCAAATAGTCAAATTGGTTTTAATTTGGGAGGAGAAAACACGTATGTAATGCTAGTTTGAGCTTTTAAATACCAGGTACAAATTTAGAAATACAAACCTGAATAAACAAATATACATATTTTGGCTATTGCACTATAGGATGATAATTAACAACGATGGGGTCATAAGATAACCTTTCTAACTGAAGATTAAAAAAATTAATTTATTATATATGGTCCAATTTATTTCTAACATGAACAAATACTTTGTACGTTTAGTAAAAGAGGACGTATATGGTCCAATTTATTTCTAACATGAACAAATACTTTGTATATTTTAGTAAAAGAGGACGTATAGTAAGAATTCACATATCACATCAATCTGTAATCAATTTTATTATGAACACAAAAATGAAATAAATAAATAAATAAATAAATAAATAAAAAAAAAAGCGGAATAATCGCATATATGAGATATTGATCAAAGAACCGCAAATTTGGAGCAACAATAATGATATCACTCACATCAGTATGTTGCTTGGCCCTTCTGAGTTGTTTGTCAATTGATTGATATTCATCGGACGAGCGATCCTACGATCTGAAGTGTTATATGCAGCTTCTGCTACCATTCCATTCATAACATCACTTGGATGAACTCCGTCAAAGTAAACATATAAGTCCCGATTGGCGCATGGTGTACTGTGAGGCTCACACTCGAAAACAATATTCAATGTGCAACAAGGCGAGCTCGTATTGATATCTGCATCAGTTGATTTGATTTTCGCATCAGATTTTATAGCTAGAAGTTAAGTTGTTTTGTACTATGTTACTCGGACTCAGATACCCATGACCGACAATGTTAAAGGATCAACTCAGCCAAAAGTTTAAGCTGATGGTTAAGGCCTAAAAATATATTTTATATTCTATCACGCCCCCTCACACGAGAGCCCATTGGGCTTGAAGTGTGGATGCAGCATAGGCGGCCCACCTCATACCATATTTCACTTTGAAAGGAGGGATGGATGAGATTCGAACCCGTGACCTTTGTGTCACGCTGGCTCTGATACCATGTTAAAGGACCATCTCAACCAAAAGTTTAAACTTATGGTTGAGGCTCAAGAATATGTTTTTATACTCTATCAGACAAGAATACATGTGTTAAGTGTCTGACTTGATTATTTTGATTCCATGATTTAGAACTAAAAATAAATTGTCCAAGTACCATATCCATGTCCAAAGTGTCGAGGGCTGTTATAGGTATATGAGGTAAAATTAAGAGTTCAAATAACATACTAACATAGCTTTAACTCCATTAAAAAAAATATGAAGTATTGTTTATACAAAATTTAAATATGCAACATCTTCAAATAAAAAAATTCTAACACTAGATGTCATTCTGTTAAGTTATGTTATATGTTCATTTAATTATATAGTTAATTACAATGCTCCCTCCTTTTCTTATTTTTTTCCCCCATAAAAATAACGTTATTTTTTTTAAGTTTTTGGTTGAAAAGAGTTGATGAGAGAATAAAGCAGTAGGGTTAAGGTAATGGTTGGTCGAGGAAAAGGTGTGGTCCCTACAAGCTACAACCGAAATTAATATAAATCAAACTCAAAGCGATGAACAAAAAAGGAAAATTGGAATAATATTAAGAAAAGAAGGGGGTATATAAAATTTAAAATACACACCGTAATTTTATTTGGGAAAATGATAAACTATGTATATAAGAATCTAAAAATTGAAATATTGAGGATAAATTAACATTAATTACACTAATCTATGCGTGATTTTGTCAGGAGTTTCCAACGTAATTCCATTTTAGAAAGTATATTTAATGTTTATATATAGCCTTAAGCGCTACATATATCATTACCCGTTTATTTGATAAAAGAGGATTGAGTCATGGATCAAACATGTCATAGCTGATTTCATGCAATTTAATGATCTTGCCATTGCTTGGGACCAAACCCTATTTCATTGTCAAACGACGTACCTGCTGGAAGGGGATTTAAAGCTTGGAAGGCGAAGAAATTAATGAGCGTAAATTTGGCCCCAGGAAGCCTTGCATTGAAATTATCCACAAGCAATTCAAGCTTTGTATTGAATATATTTGCGGCTTGGTTAACTTCATCCACGCATTGAGTTGTATTGTTCATAATCATTTGAGCCGGCACGCAACCTAGTTGACCAATGCCGAAAACTGCTACCATTCTAGCGCCAGTATTATTAAGCGTCTAACACACAACAAAAACAAAACTAAGATTAATTTGTTGACATAGTCGTCGTATGTTAGCTAACTTCACTTCTTGGTAAAAATAAATTGCTTCGTATATAGGGTTTAGAGGGATCGGTGAGAAGGAACAAAGAACATACCCGTAATTGTAATCTATATCGAGCAATTAATCGATTAGCATACTCATCAGGGGTGAAGAGCCTCTTTGAAGGATAAAATTGTGGCGAGAAGTAATTATTAATGTAGACATTGCTACCAATATTTACAATGTACAAGCACTTGTTCAAGTTGTTAGAAACTGGACCACGAACCATAAATTGAAGCTTTAAGATGGTCTTCATATAATTTTGTATTTGTCGATCCAACCATATACGATCACCCTCAAATAAAATGTAAGGAAAAAAAATAAAAAATTATGCTGAATACAAAAGATTATATATGTTTAGTAGAAAATGTTGGCTTGTGTCGTGTACAAAATATATTGTAACTATGAATTTAGAATCAATCATCATTTATTTATGAACTATAACCTAGCTTGTCATGCTTGAAAATTTGTGGTTTGTTCATTGTTAAAAGTACAATATAATTGCATGCCTATAAAAAAATAAAAAAAAAAAAAAAAAAAATGACACCAGTATACGAGTAGAATTTATAATCATACCAATACAAATCCAGTTTCAATGAGGATTCCAGCATAACTGGATGCGAAATTGACACCTCTCAGTAGATCCAATAAATCAATATATAATATGCATCCAATGTATTTGGCATATTCGTTACAATATTACATATTATAGCTTTATTGGATGTATGAACGAAATTTTAAAAGCGGATCATACAAACCTTGCGAATTCTTAGTGAACATATCATTAAGTCTTATGAGATCAATGAATGACAGTTTCCCATTACGAGGATTAGAATTTCGAGCTTCAAATCCTTCAATATCTACCTGATTGTAATTTATGTATGTTCGTCCCTGTTTAATTAGTACCAGTCACAGGGGCGGATCCAGTATGGGTTCAAGTGGGTTCATTGAACCCACTGATTTTTTGAAAAAAATCATATTAAAAAAAATCATTTTGGACTTCATTATAAGTCCCAAATGATTTTTTTTAATGTGATTAGCCGATTAGAAACTGAAGATTGGTTTTGATTAGCCGATTTGGGGATTTTTCCTCTAGAAACTGAAGTTGTGACCGGATATTTGACTATTTGAGTTGAGTATTTGAGCCCCATAATTTTTGTTTAATTGATATTGATATTATTTCTGATTTTCTGTTTAATTGATGTTAATTATTGAATTTATTATCATTCATTCATTCGGCATTTATCATGTATGTGTAGCAGTATATACCATGAGTTTAGAGTCATTGTGGAAACGTGCCGGGAAGTCACAAAAGTCTTCAACTTGTTCTTCACCTAGAACTAGGAGAAATTGAAAGTGGGCAAGGTTTAAACCAAGAACATGGCTTAGGTAGGCCTGGTGATACTAGGTGGGGATCACATTACAAAATTGTTTCAAATGTTACCGCATTGTATGCTACTATTGTTAAAGTTCTTGAGAAGATTGGATCAAATAAGCTTTATAAGGATAATCGTGTGAAGGCTATCACTGTTATGTCTATTTGAATCATTTGAATTTGTTTTTATGATACATTTGATGTCTGAAATATTTGGGAATACTGATAAATTGTGTCAAACTCTGCAAAAAGGGGACCAAGATATTGTTAATGCCATGACATATGGTAAATTGACTAAGGAGGGATTACAACAAATACTAAGGAGGGATTACAACAAATGAGGGACCATGGGTGGGAAGACTTTTTACATCTTGTGGTTTGTTTTTGTGTTAAACATAATGTAGAATTTCCTACTATGGATGATATGTATGTTCCTCGTGGAAGGTCAAGACGCTTCTTTGCCAAAGTTTCAAATCTTCATCGATTTCGGATAGAAATGTTTGTAAGTGTCATTGATTTACAACTCTAAGAGCTCAATATTAGATTTGATGAAGAAAATATGGAGTTACTTATTTGTGAAGGAAATCTTTGTTCCTCATTGTGAGAAACATAATCGTTTCTCATAATGGCATTTCTGAAATTAAAGTGATGTTTTTCACTTCCTCGGATGCTGAGTAGGATTCGCCTATGTGTCAATTTGCTGAGTGGTGCTGAGTAGGGACATCCTTGTGTTAATCTGTTTAACAGATGGCGTTACATTGTTGAGGTTTGGCGGGAAAATATTCACACATCTTCACACATCACATCTTCATACATCTTCACACCATCTTCACACATCTTCTAGTTGAACAGCTTCCAAACCCAATTTCCAGACCAATTGAAAAACACACATCTTCGAATTAACAGGTAGTTTTTTGTTCTCTTTCTTCGTCGCTTCTTCCAGTCGTGAGTTTTGTTCTGTTCTAGGGACCCAATTTCCATACCCAGTTGAAAAAACACACATCTTCGAATTAGCAGGTAGTTTTCTGTTCTCTTTCTTCGTCGCTTCTTCCAGCCGTGAGTTTTGTTCTGTTCTAGGGTTTTGATGTGACAACATTTCATGAAATTGAATTCATAATTGCGACCGAAATCAGAATAATTTTGAAAGTAATGGTATTAAGAGGTTGAATGCCTCTGTTAAAATGGGTTTGAGGTTGCTGAAAATGGCCGAATGATTCTGTTGAAAATGCAATTTATACTTTTTGATAATGTGTTGTCTTCGTATGCTGTGAAACAAATCCCTCTATTGATTTGTGTTAATTTTTGAAAATTGGTTGTATTACTTTGTTGGTTGTTCAATTGGTTGGTTGATTTGTGTTGGTTGGTTGTATTTCTGTGTTAGGTTGAATTTGTGCTGTGAAAACGTGTTGGTTGGTTGATTTGTGTTGGTTGGTTGTATTTCTGTGTTAAGTTGAATTTGTGCTGTGAAAACGTGTTGGTTAGTTGATTAACTGGTTTAATTTGTATTCTAATTACGTTGGTGTTTTGTATTAATTTGTATTGTAATTATGTTGGTGTTCTGTATTTGAAGGGTGAATTGTTTTTGATGGAGAATACTGATATTATGGAAATGGAAACTGAAGGCGTTATTAGGGGCAGTGAGGTTGGTGTTGGTGATTATGGCAGTGTCGTTATGTTTAAGAGTAATGTTGATATGGAGGAGGGCAATGATATGGAGGGTATAGAAGACATAGTTGTTGCAGATAGTTGTGCTGAGGGTGTTGGTGTAGTTGGTGTAGGTGCAGTTGACATGAATGTTAGGTATTTATCCCCCGTGAAAAAAATTCATACGACTCACACTGTGGTTGGTAGCAATGAAATGAGTGTAATTGTTAAGGAGCCTACGGAAGGGATGGTTTTTCGATCTTGGCAAGAGGTTTGAAGCCTACTATAAGGAGTATGCTGAGCAGATGGGGTTTAGAGTGTCAAAGGTTCAAGGCGTAAATTCTAAGACGGCGGACAAACAAAGAATTGCAAACACGTGGAAGTGTGACTATTGGGGTAAACCCGACATGAGGGCTAGGAGGGAAGCGAAGAAGAGGGCAAAGGCAATGGGTGTTGGAGGTTCAGGTGGTTTAGTTGATGGGGTGGTATGTGAGGATGAGTTAAGTCGTAGGAAGAGGACTTCGAAAAAGTGTGAATGTGAGGCCCGTGTTTATGCTAAAGTTAATGAATATGTCATATGGGTGTCGAAGACCGTGCACTTAGAGCATAATCACAAGATTGATCCGGAAAATTCTAAGCTTGTGAAGGAGTACCGCATGAAGCAAATGGCCTTAAAAGTGAAGAAGAAGTAAAGGTAGCAAAGAATTCCGACAATTTTTTTTATTACGGCTATCTAGGTTCGTTTAGACTTTTGACGACAAATGTGAAATGTCCAATTAAACACATACCCCCATACACTCACTCTTTCGCTCTTCCCCTCTTTGTATTCTTCGACTACAAACGTTCCTAACCTACTCCTTCCCTTCTCTTTTCTTCTCTTCTCTTGTTCAGATCTACAGTTTCTCCATTATTCCTTTCTTCTTAAACTCCCAAATTTCATTTTTCCTGTAAATTCGGAATAAGGTTACCAAAAAAAAAAAAATGTATGAACCAAATAATCAAGCATCATATACCAACCACCCTTATTTTCCTGGGCAATCTATGCCACCTTCAATTCATTATCCTTCATTCTCATACCCTCCTCAATTTCAATCTCTCTCCTCGAACCCTTTTGTCTCTCTTCCTCTTTATGGCTATACCCCAGGAAATATCCATCAAATATTTCGGGTTTTGGAGCACAACCTGTTTATTCAGACCCGGGTGCTGCTTCAGCAAATTGGGTTGTCAAACAATCTGCCCCTGTTACTTATTCTGTGGTATGTTTTCGTTTTCTCTATAAAATGGATAGTTGTTGAAAGTTTGTTTGTTGTTTTTAATTGAGTTTATGATTTATGATTGAGTTTTATGTGTTCTTGATGGAGTAAAGCATAAACATGTGAACTCAACTATGGGTATGTTGCATACCTCTAATAAAATAACTTGACCTCTTTCTCCATTTACTTAATCCATTTTTCTCAATTGTAGTGTAATATTTTCAAGATTTCCTACTTTTTTATTATTAATAATTATACTATAAATTAATCTATAGTTTATGCAGATTCTTATTTTTAATAATTCGATTATTATCTTATTTTAATTTAGATTATGTGATATTCATCTGATCCAATCTTTGCACATTACTGTTTGTGAAATTCGAAGTTCTTTCTTTTGTTTCTTTATGATTTATTTTCACCAATTTTTGGGAATTTTTGCTAATAATCGGATTGTACAGACAACCTTTCAGAGAGAAGAAAAATCGAAGAACCATGGTGTGATGTTTGTATAATCAGCTGCATAAGCAATGATTATCTTAATATGCACTTAGTGGAAAGAACTTACGAAAGCTCCAGAACCCCATTAATAATGCCTCAACTGTTGCTTCACTGCCCTTAATTATTCCAACCACAGCTGCTGCTAAAACGCCTATTCCAGTGAGTACCGGAGAAACCAATGCACAATACAACCTTTCAAAGAAAAGAAAAATCGAAGAACCATGGTGTGATGTTTGTAAAATCAGCTACACAAGCAATGATGGTCTTAATATGCATTTAGTGGGAAAGAAACACTAGAAGAACTTACGAAAGCTCCAGAACGCAATTAATATTGTCTAAATTGTTGCTTCCTGCCCTTAATTATGAGCGTTGCTGTTGCTTATGAAGCTTATCTCAATGCTCTCCCTCACCCCACTTAGCTCTTTCTGGTTGTATTATCTTTCTTTAGTTGTCTGTTTTAAAAACAATATTAGAAGCATAGTAGTA